GCATTTATATTGTTCAATTGCAGGTAATATGTTATATCGCAGAGAGCAACTTCAAATTGCCCCATTGAGTTATCAATAAATAAAGAGACAAATCCCTTTCAGTATCCAACAAAATCGACTGTACAATTCCGAATATATCATGAGCATGTGTTTATGAATGATACATTTAAATGGCATGACACAGTTGAATAGATTGTCCATTTGTCATTCCCGGGAGTGTGACAAACATATAAAATGTATAAAAAAACTAAATTATAACTTCAATATGGAAGACGCTAATAATAAAAGTATACAAGCATGACTATGAATACATCCGAGTTCCTATAGCCATACATTTGTACATGCTGTTGTCCTGTGGATCCATGCAGTGCATCAGCCCGAAACACATTCCGCTGTGGAAGCAGCTGTGACAATTATATGAATGGACCACTGCAGATCAGTTATGACATCAGGGTAAGGATGACCTGCCCTACTGGAAGCACCCGCCATTCATACAATTTGCATAAAATTGTAAGTATTTATTGCTGTACTTGAAGCACAGCAGTAGTATTCAAACACAGAAATATTCGTGAAAACACTCCAACACTACAACTAAACCAAAAACCCATACAATTCCAAAAAGAAACCACATTTCTTGGACTAATCTTTGATGAACACCTCACCTGGGGTGCTCACATTAAAAACCTAACAAATAGATGCACTAAAGACCTGAACACACTACGCTGCCTGACAGGCTCCAACTGGGGGGCCTCCAAGGAGACCCTACTATCACTTTACAAATCACTTATTAGATCAAAAAGAGACCATGGATGCCAAATATACAACGCCTTAAACTAAACTCAATTCAATATCAAGCACTCAAGATAATCACACACATATCACTACAGGCGCTAACAGGCGAAATACCCCTGGATCTACGCCGAGAACATCTAACAATACATTTCTTGGCCAACAAATCCAACAGATCCTTAAAACTAACATAAGCCCCAGACTCAAAGCTCTAGCTCGCAAAAAACCTCAATAAACACAAATCTCTCAACGCATAATAAATTACCTAAATACACACAACCTAAATAATATACAGTTAAACACAGCTCCAAATAACACCTTCACATCCCCACACTCCAAACCCCACAAATCGACATATCTCTCTCAACCAGACGAAATAAAGAAACTGATCCAAATACCGCTAAATCCATCACACTAGCATACATTCACGAACAATGACTAAATTGGTGTCACATTTACACAGACGGATCCTTTGACCCGGTCTCAAAACGCACAGGATTCGGCATCCATATCAACAAACCACAAAAAGAAACACAATCCTATAGGCTCCCAAATAATCAATCAATTTTCACAGCCGAATTAATGGGGATAGTAACAGCCCTGCACAGCGATCAAATAAACAGACACCAAAAAAACCTAATCCTTTCAGACTCATTAGGTGGGCTCCAGGCCATAAAAAAACCATAAACACAAAAAAACGCCCAAAACTAATACAACAGATAATTAAAAGCGCCAACGATCTTCGTAAACTAGGAAAGACATAGAAATAGTTTGGATCCCTGCCCACGTTGGAGTGTTTGGCAACGAACACGCAGACAAAGCAGTCAAATCAGCACTACAATTAGAAGAAGTAAGCATTAACCTACCAATATAAAAAAAACGAAATTAAGAGTATCACAAAGGAGAAAATCTTCCAAAAGTGGCAAAATAACTATCAGAAATCTGATTGCAAACTAAAACACCTGCTACAAAATCCATCATAAAACTAAAACAGGCCACTCTATGTCTAACTCCCACCTACACCAAATTAAAAAAACACCAAACCGGTAAATGCCCCCACTGCAACTTAAAAGAAACGCCTGAACACGTAATACTATATTGCACACATTACCAGCAACACAGAACAACACTCCAATCCACACTAAATTGCAACAATCAAATGACACTAGCAACGGTACTAAACCCCCTAAATGACTTTCAAACATTAAAAGCACTAGGCATATATGTAATCAAAACAGGCCTACTTGGCCGCATTTAAAAATAAAATTACAACAAACAAGCTGCCAATAAACAATACAATTCTAAACCTATAACAACAAACTCCTTTTAGTTCCCCTACTTCACCTTTTGCATGGCATATTTCAAAACTCTCCAAATTAAGTATGCAACCCTAAAAAGCCCCATCTAGCTATAGGTTACCTCGCCTTTTCGGACATACCCTTTTCGACCAAACACCAAATGGCCTGGCGGGCCCGTGAACGAAATACCCATACATCGGAAAGCGCACGTTAAATTCCTAATTTAAGTAAAGTAGTACTCCTGCCACACGGCGTCAGCCTATGAACAAACCAGACAATCAAGTGATCTATGTACCAGTACATGTTGGCTTCTCCAGTCCAATGACGCTCAACTTTGCTTTGTGACGTGCTGCAACAGGCTGTGGTAATCTATTGGTGGTCATCATGACAAACATAGTAAGTCATCTCTCTACTTTTATATGAGACTATCATCCTTATAGAAATACGTGCACATTGACCACAGGATCAGGCATGGAAAGTGACAAATAATCCATACAATCATCGCGCATTTGCACGTATTTGTCGTTAATGTTGTCGTTAACCATGGCGTAGGTTATCCATACATGATTTAACCATGGCCTCAGTTATCCATACAGGATATAGCCATGGGCTCGGTTATCCATACATGACTTAAGCATGGCCTGGGTTATCCATACAGGATATAGCCTTGGCCTCGGTTATCCATACAGGACTTACGCATTGCCTAGGTTATCCATACGGTGGTGCACGCACGGTTCAAAAGGTCAGCGATGATTTACTGAAAAGGGGTATACTTTAACAGGGCTTTGCTCTCTCATGCAGCGAGTGGCGAGATGATCGTATGAACATTTTTAGTAATCTTACTTTCACTGTTCAAAAGATCGAGCAAACAAAAAGTGCTGAAAATGATTAGGAAAGTTTCATATCAAATGATTCAAAAGGTTTACTTGTCTTAATGACTCAGTCAGGTATATATATGTGTCAGGTATCCACTTGTGTCAGGTATCCACGTTTGTCAGATATCCACGTGTGTCAGGTATCCACGGGTGTCAGGTAGCTATGTGTGTCAGGTATCCATGGGTGTCAGGTATCCACGTGTGTCAGGTATCCACGTTTGTCAGGTATCCACGTGTGTCAGGTATCTATATGTGTCAAGTATCCACGTGTGTCAGGTACCTATGTGTGTCAGGTATCCACGTGTGTCAGGTATCCACATGTGTCAGGTATCCACGTGTGTCAGGTATGTATATGTGTCAGGTATTAGTGTGTGTCAGGTAGCTATGTGTGTCAGGTATCCACGGGTGTAAGGTATCCACTTCTGTCAGGTATCCACGGGTGTCAGGTATCCACGTGTGCCATGCACCCACGTGTGTCAGCTATCCACGTGTGCCATATACCCGCGTGTGTCAAGTATCCATGTGTGTCAGGTAGCTATGTGTGTCAGGTATCCACCTGTGTAAGGTAGCTATGTGTGTCAGGTGTCCACGTGTGTCAGGTATGTATATGTGTCAGGTATTCATGTGTGTCAGGTAGCTATGAGTGTCAGGTATCCACGTGTGTCATGTATCCACGTGTGTCAGGTATCCACTTGTGTCAGGTATGTATATGTGTCAGATATTCATGTGTGTCAGGTGTCCACGGGTGTCAGGTATCCACGTGTGTCAGGTATCCACGTTTGTCACATATCCACGTGTGTCAGGTATCCACGTGTGTCAGGTAGCTATGTGTGTCAGGTATCCACGGGTGTCAGGTATCCACGTTTGTCAGGTATCCACGTTTGTCAGGTATCCACGGGTGTCTGGTATCCACGTGTGTCGGGTATCCACGGATGTCAGGTATCCACGGGTGTCAGGTATGTAAATGTGTCAGGTATGTATATGTGTCAGCTATCCACATGTGTCATGTATCAACCTGTGTCAGGTATCCATGTGTGTCAGGTAGCTATGAGTGTCAGGTATCCACCTGTGTAAGGTAGCTATGTGTGTCCTCGCGGATATATGATACACGTGGATACCTGACACACGTGGATACCTGACACACTTAGATACCTGATATATAGATACCTGACACACGTGGAAAGCTGACACACGTGGATACCTGACACACGTGTATTTCTGACACACATGAGTACCTGACACACGTGGATACCTGACACACATAGGTACCTGACACACGTGGATACTTGACACATATACATACCTGACACACGTGGATACCTGACACACGTGGATACCTGACTCACGTGTATTTCTGACACACATGGATACCTGACACACGTGTATACCTGACACACGTGGATACCTGACACACGTGGATACCTGACACACAGACCCACAGACATATTTTATTCCTTCCAATATGTGAAGAGTACATCTGAAAGTAAGTTAGGTCAAATCATAAATGACCTGTAATTAACCAGAAGCAGATAACAAAAAAATACATACAATTTACTTGAAGGTAGGTGATAGCTAAGAGCAATGGTTATAAAATGTTTATAATGTTAACATTTTCATTTATATTTTAGCATGAATGAATACCACAAGACGCGCACTTTACATATACACACCCATTCAAAACAAGCTGCCTTTTCTCATCCCAGTCGCGATCAACAGAACGTTTTGTTTGAACTTATGATCCTCAGGGAGCTGAGAATGAAATGCACACTGATCCACTGACCCGGGTAATAATGTAGTGCTTTCAGCATGCTTCAGGGGCATGGATTTGGCGCAATATAAATATGCACATTATAATTATTATTATTGGCATTCTTGGAAAGTTTGGTCAGTGCCTTGCAAGCCTTTAAACAGAGGATTAAAGAGGATTAATCCAAGCGAAAATCTCAAGATTTCTATTATCGAAACACACTACATGCAACAACAAACCAAACTACAGCTGCATTAATCATTGGGAAAACGTCGTCTCGATATATTTAAGCTGAACAGCAGACAGACGGTGGAGAAACAGCAGACAGACGGTGGAAAAACAGCAGACAGACGGTGGAGAAACAGCAGACAGACGGTGGAGAAACAGCAGACAGACGGTGGAGAAACAGCAGACAGAAGGTGGAGAAACAGCAGACAGACGGTGGAGAAACAGCAGACAGACGGTGGAGAAACAGCAGACAGACGGTGGAGAAACAGCAGACAGACGGTGGAGAAACAGCAGACAGAAGTTGGAGAAACAGCAGACAGAAGGTGGAGAAACAGCAGACAGGCGGTGGAGAAAAAGCAGACAGACGGTGGAGAAACAGCAGACAGAAGGTGGAGAAACAGCAGACAGACGGTGGAGAAACAGCAGACAGACGGTGGAGAAACAGCAGACAGAAGGTGGAGAAACAGCAGACAGACGGTGGAGAAACAGCAGACAGACGGTGGAGAAACAGCAGACAGAAGGTGGAGAAACAGCAGACAGAAGGTGGAGAAACAGCAGACAGAAGGTGGAGAAACAGCAGACAGACGGTGGAGAAACAGCAGACAGACGGTGGAGAAACAGCAGACAGACGGTGGAGAAACAGCAGACAGACGGTGGAGAAACAGCAGACAGACGGTGGAGAAACAGCAGACAGAAGGTGGAGAAACAGCAGACAGACGGTGGAGAAACAGCAGACAGACGGTGGAGAAACAGCAGACAGACGGTGGAGAAACAGCAGACAGACGGTGGAGAAACTGCAGACAGACGGTGGAGAAACAGCAGACAGACGGTGGAGAAACAGCAGACAGACGGTGGAGAAACAGCAGACAGACGGTGGAGAAACAGCAGACAGAAGGTGGAGAAACAGCAGACAGACGGTGGAGAAACAGCAGACAGACGGTGGAGAAACAGCAGACAGACGGTGGAGAAACAGCAGACAGACGGTGGAGAAACAGCAGACAGACGGTGGAGAAACAGCAGACAGACGGTGGAGAAACAGCAGACAGACGGTGGAGAAACAGCAGACAGACGGTGGAGAAACAGCAGACAGACGGTGGAGAAACAGCAGACAGACGGTGGAGAAACAGCAGACAGAAGGTGGAGAAACAGCAGACAGAAGGTGGAGAAACAGCAGACAGACGGTGGAGAAACAGCAGACAGAAGGTGGAGAAACAGCAGACAGACGGTGGAGAAACAGCAGACAGAAGGTGGAGAAACAGCAGACAGACGGTGGAGAAACAGCAGACAGACGGTGGAGAAACAGCAGACAGAAGGTGGAGAAACAGCAGACAGACGGTGGAGAAACAGCAGACAGACGGTGGAGAAACAGCAGACAGACGGTGGAGAAACAGCAGACAGACGGTGGAGAAACAGCAGACAGACGGTGGAGAAACAGCAGACAGAAGGTGGAGAAACAGCAGACAGACGGTGGAGAAACAGCAGACAGACGGTGGAGAAACAGCAGACAGAAGGTGGAGAAACAGCAGACAGAAGGTGGAGAAACAGCAGACAGACGGTGGAGAAACAGCAGACAGACGGTGGAGAAACAGCAGACAGACGGTGGAGAAACAGCAGACAGACGGTGGAGAAACAGCAGACAGACGGTGGAGAAACAGCAGACAGACGGTGGAGAAACAGCAGACAGACGGTGGAGAAACAGCAGACAGACGGTGGAGAAACAGCAGACAGAAGGTGGAGAAACAGCAGACAGACGGTGGAGAAACAGCAGACAGACGGTGGAGAAACAGCAGACAGAAGGTGGAGAAACAGCAGACAGAAGGTGGAGAAACAGCAGAGTAAAGAACAATCTGGAAGTGACAGGGTCAAACAAATGGTCGTTGGCCAACATGTGGCACTGTGCGGGTGTGGTAAGGACAACGAGTGGACACGTGGAGTCGTGAGTGGTAGAACGGTGCCTCTGAACTATCAACTTCTGGTACATCAGTAAAACGGCATCTTGATCAAATGTACAGTTCAAATGCAGATCGCGAAGGAACAGATTCGACTGAAACAGTTCAGTTTGATAAAGGAATTCAGTCACCATCAGTTCAAGAGTCAGTGTCTGAGGCAAGTTTGCCACCAGAAGCCAAGCTGAAGGCGAGTAGACACTTGATTTGTGACCCTAGCCTTGTGTTCATGTTCACGTTACTGTAAATTGAGCTAAGTGTGATAAGTGATCAGTATAGTTTATGTTCATCACAGAAGAGACATCAGTTCAATATATTACCCTACAGATTAAGGGTTGCTTCATAGAGCTTGAATATTCAGTGTGTATAATTTACTGCTGGATAAGATCATGGACTGTGTTATATTGTAATGTAATCTATTAACAATGACTGTACTGTAACTGTGTTATATTCTTTTATTGAGATTCAGTAGAAGTTCATTGCATTGTGTTTGGACAGTGATTAGTTGTCATGAATGTAGTACTATTTAATGTAAGCAGTGGTGAGGATGTTATGATATTTAGATGCTCGAATTATTTGTAAACATATGAAATGGATGGATGTCAAGCGTTATAATAAATGTGGATTATTCTTTGATGTTTAAGTGACACTAGGCGGTGCTGGAAGGCTATACGTGTGGAGCATGTGTGTCCCTGTCTCATCTCACATTTCATCTGACATTACATCCAGTGAGGTGTGTGGGTTGTGGACGAGGTGCCAAGTGGTCAGGCCGTCTTACCTTATTAAGAATATGATTAACACTTTTAGAAGGTATGCATGCAAACCACCCAGGAGCTGGGCAGTATGGAACTGGGAGTTCAACACTAAGCATCCAGCTCACAATAAAACTGTCCAAGAGCTTAGATTTTGCTCTCTGGTGGTAGCTCAGGGTGATGACGAAGACAAAACTCAGGGGTGAAGTTTAAGAAGACAACAGCCATGTTTATTGTTGCAGGTCGAAACAGGTCGAAATGGTACAAGTAATGGTAATCACGTGACAGAACGCACACGGGGACCGTGTGGCCAATATGTTCCTGGGTGCAGAGACCCGTTCTGTCACTTACACTCAGTCCGGAAGTTGGACATCTATAGCGACGAGAAGTGGGATACGTCCAGAACTGGGTAAAACACCATAGGGAATTATATCTGTCGCATGCAACTATGTGTTTCATTGACAAACAGTTCATAAGAGCAAAATCATCTGCACTTCTTGTGTTTTTAGTGCGCCAATGGCAGTGCTACTGACTTGATATCCGCCATTTGTAAAAGTGGTAATGCAGAACTAAAGCGAAATACAATTTCTTCTTTTTATACAGGTCGCTAATGAATAACTGTAAATTCCTTTACAATGGTCGTGTTGCTTATTATCTGTAATTATTACCCATTGCCATGTTTAATTTGACACGATATCAGTCCCAAATGTATTATTTGATTGTCTATCATATCATAACCTTCGTGACATATTTAATAATAGAGTAAAGTTTCTGTTTAATTTCTTGGCTACTTCTCAAAACAGTGTTTGCCTTTAAAATATCAACAGCCAAATGGAAATAAAGATGTTATGCCACTCATTGGTGGGGATATAAGTGTATTAATTCAAGTTCTGTAAAGTGGATATAAAACCTCCGGGATGTTTGTGTTATGCTATTTTTCAAGAGTTATAAGAGTTGGACATATTTCTTCTGATACGCAGGAGGCAAATATATAGGAGTATACACTGATGACATTGAACAATAGGCGAGGATATTCACAATATATAAGTGGGATGGTATGTACAGTAATGTAATTATAATAATTATTTTGAATATTACTGCGTGTGTCATTTAACATCAAACAAAGAATATGATACTCAACATGTCATGTTTGTAATGTTAAGTCCCATTTTAAGAATAACTATCAGGTTAGATTTTAGTGGTAACAATTATTCAAAATCTATCCATTTGATCATTCTGTATATTATCATAAAAACTATTTACCATTACTTTTATTAATGGTAGGGGTACATGTAACTGTTTCCAGGCATAGCAGATGAAGCATGTGAGAGAATTTGTGCCACATCTATGAAGTCTAACTTAAAAGATATAAGAAACAAATCACATGTAGAAATAGTTGAAAAAGATTTCTTTAATGTTCCTTTAATTCACCCAGCACCCTATTCTTTTTCTCATGTTTTTAAGGAAAATATAGCATAAGTCATACCCGATATTACAAAATCTCCTTCCTGGTCAGCATTTAAATAACTGGGAAACTCAGTGAACAATTCCTGGTAGATAGATAGATAGATTGACCTTGGTATCCCAAGCTCTTCTATCATTAACATTAATATTTGCAAGACAAAAGCAACAGTAAGAATAAGCCTCCCTTCACAACTTGATGAAAAAGGTGATGGCACGTAGCTCAAGTTTCTAAGATTATATTTCTTCTAAAGACGAGAACGTCAAGGTAAGTGATTATACCTTTACTTTTTTCTATTTCCTGTGGTTTCTATCCAGAGAGGTTCAGATCTAGCACATCATACATTGTGCAGTCAGTATCAGTCCATCCATGATGATCAGGTAGCCTATTACAGTTGTGAAGGGGGCGAAGCTATTTTAAAACTATGTAGTTTCATATGTAAAGCTTAAAATCAAAGTACATATTTCTCACAGGTTTGAAATGTAAATGATAATCATCAGAAAACAATACTCTGAAGATTCCTTTCATTCTTGAAAGCATTATATTTATGTCACTTCTGGTGGGGACTTCGAGGGGATGTGAGCTATAATATAGTGATAAATCTTGATCCATAGCATTCAGATTCTGCTCACAAGATTGAAGTGTTATTTACTATTAGCAGCCAGAAAGAAATCTTCAGATTCCATTGATTGTAGATTTTAAAGGCGTTATCCCATATCTGGTCGAGGTGATGTGAGTGATCATACAGTCAAAAATATCTTTAAATTAGAAATATTGACCCAAAGCATTCAGATTCTGCTCATAAGTTAGAAATGTTATTTACTCTCAGCAGTCAAAAGAAAATCTGAAGATTAATTGTTCAGTTTAAAGGTGTTAACCCATTTCTAATCGAGGGAATATGAGTAATAAAAGAGTAAACAATCTAATATAATTAGCAGTATTGTCCCTTGATCGGATGGGGAGTACAGCTTAAAAGCGGTTCCCAGTAAATGATACGTGTCGTGATAGGCGACTAAAGAGCCTCGGTTGCTTGTCATTTGGTTGCTTGCGAGGCATCGTGCATGTCGGCTTGGGACGTTGTTCATACTTAAACCACTCGTTTGTCTGGCCCAGAGTCGATTACATGTATTTATATCCGGGTACATGAAACACAATCAACGAAGTCACTACACAAGCATGCCCACCCAGTCCATCGATTGTCGCCTCACATGACAAGCGTATATTTTAAGTAATGTCCAACATAGACATACACACAGCACTGTCCATGGATCATCGTGATTTGAGGCTAAATATATTATTTCGACTTCGTTCAATATATCTTTCCTGTCTTTGGAGATCTGCCAAACAAGACAAATTGCAATTTCACTTTGAATCTGTCTGGTTCCCAAAACACTGTGAAGTAGGTATACTAATTTCTGTAAGGTCTCTAGATTTTACTGGTGCAGTCTTACCGCTTATATCTGTTAGTTTTAAATTTGCACACCAAACTTCTGATCTTGCATTACGTGCATTATGTATGATCGGGTTAAGTTAAGGAAGTATGTGAGGTTACCAGTTTCTTGTATATGTGGGTAGATTGCCAGTCTAAAAACATCGTCAACATCCAGATTTGATATGTTACTTCTTACATTGTCTGCATCTACATAAATGACTGCTTTTACTATTGTAATATGGACGAGTCTACTTATGAAAAAAATCTCGTACAGACACAGTGATATTTGTGCATGAATGTGAATTGCCGCACATAGAGGCAAAATGTTTCCAATTTATAGTGAAGAATTTAATGTGGGTTAATTATTTGGAATGGAACATGGAAATAGACAAAGTATATTCAGCATGGTCCCCAAAAATAATATAAACTAAATCATATTCCGCATATATAATCGCCATACGTTTTAGAACTAACCGAAGGCATTACCGCAGTAAATTGGGTTTAACGAAATTGTGGACTGTTTATCCCAGTTCGGGTCCCTACAGACGTCGTCTGGTCGTTGGGGAGGCGGCGGCATTTGCCGACGCACGACAAGATGTACAATCCGTCCGCTTCTGTCGATGATCTGGTCCCTCTGACTGACCGTGACAGTCAAATTTTGTATATAGAGGAATTACGTAACGCGGAAAGTCAGTGACCCACGTACATGTACATAAGTAAGATCCGGCGTCGTAAGGAGATGTGAACTGACATTCATTGATAGCGCTGGGGATTTTAGGGTCCTGCCTGGAGGGGGCTTATAATTAGGCGATACGCCGAATGTTTGCTGTATACAAAGGGATAGAATTCCAGTGCACTTTGGAATCATATTGAAACAATTATGTATTTTGGATAAATGACGTTTAAAAGAAAAATACTTAAATGGTGTGCAGTATAACAAAACCAATAGAATCCGCAGACGGACTTGTGTTTTCAATTTAAGAATTATCCGTCGAACATTTACTACTACGGTTACAAATTCCTTACTGTAACATGCACTGAACACAGGTCAGTGATATGTGATCACAGCACATTCATTCATAACGTTTGTTAATAAGGTATTGCTGAAATTACGTTTTCTAATTTCTTGTGATCTGTAATCACCGTATTGGAAAAAAAACCAGAACATTCTCAAACTGTTACAGCTTCTGATTTCATAGCTCATCAGTAAGAATTGTCAATAATGGGATAGGTGACGAGTTCAAATATATGCCTATGTGAGATTCGAAACGTACTAATTAACAATGATGGTCGTAGTCAGTACATTTTGCCAAAAGTTTTGACATGTACTACCTGTATGAATTGTCATTGGAACATTTAATGACTTTATAATATAATATTATATAGTATGGATTCATATCCTGCACTCGTTGAAAAGATGAATATTGTTGATGGATTTCGATTACAAAAAATAGATGAGTTAAACTGCAACTGGAGAAAGAGCGTGATTCTCGAATTGAGTTGTATAAAAAAGTTTCACAGAGCTGTGAATGCTCTTGATAGAGTTGACACTGCAGTTTTAGTAGCTAAAAAGGGTCTTGGTGTAGATGGTGTTGGTTTATTATCAACTGGGTGCTGGCTGAAGCAAAGTTAAATACATGTAGCGTTGACAACAGCACTAGCTGATGGTAAGATATCTGAGGACGACTTTCATTTTGTGTTGATAGAACTCACCAAATACAACACAATGAAGCAAGAGATTCAATTCAATTCTCGTAAGACCGGTGGCATTAGTGAAAATGAGAAAAACAAGTTTATTGAACAACCACTCCTAGCATTCAATGCCAAAGCCAGAGATTAAGAATAATTTGTGTCCTGGATATAGGATGCGTCTTGTTAAATATTGGTGCCATGTATCTAATGATCGTCATCACATCATTAATAAAACTTAAGACCCCAATCTGAGCTTTGTAAGGGCCTGGACCTGGCCTAGATTGTGGTGGTCCAGTACCCCCGTTATCTATACTACTCCCTCTACAACACCTGCATCGACATCAGTGTGAATGTCTGCAACATCTACAACAGTCTGATCCTCTACAACATCTACATCTACATCAGCGTGACCCTCTACTACATCTACATCAACGTGACCCTCTACTACATCTACATCAGCGTGACCCTCTACTACATCTACATCAGCGTGACTCTCAAATACATCGACATCAGCGTGACCCTCTACAACATCTACATCTACGTCTGCGTGACCCTCTACTACATCTGCATCAGCATGACTCTCCACCACATCTACATCAGTGTAACCACTCACTACATCTTCATCAGCGTGATCCTCTACTACATCCAAATCTACAAGAGAGCAGAGATATCTAATATAGCATGCATGAAAAATTAAAAGGACATTAATAAGCTTTTTCATCAATGAAAAGTCGAGACCTACCCAGACCATGAAATAACATCAATTTTCCACTGATACAAATATGGTAGACATGTATGTATGTAATATACGCCAGAATAATGCCAGGTGTTACGGAATGTTGTAGTTATTTTCCAACACTTCAATAGTTTTGTTATTTGATATCTTTCTAATTACAAAAGGAAACATGTCTTTCAGAAGAGAACAAGGAATCCTTGCCCTACATTTCAATGGCACAAACTCTTCCCGTTTGTGATCATACGAATTCGACACACATATATCAATCTTGTAATGCAGATCCAGCACTTTGCGGGTGTTCCTTGGAGCGGGCAGCATCATGCCCATGAAGGGCCGTGTTATCAAGGGAAACACGTCACTCTTCTTGTATATCTTTTCCCGATTTTTACAATCTTGTATGTATGAAGGGTGTTCAGAGTAAAAAAATATATCGAGGAATGGATATTTCCAGCTCTTGCCACCAGCCATGAGAGAATTTGCGTGAGACAATTTCCAGCTTATTTTCACTGAAGCGTTGACTTCATACTCTGGTGGGAGCGACTGCAGGAATGTCAACAATGCGGGTTTGTCACTCTCCCTCACAATGATGTCCACGTCGTCGTCCCAGGGAATAATGCCGTGATGGGAGTAGGAACCCAGTAAAGCTCCTGCATAGATGAAGTAGGTGATGTTAGAGGGCACACGTTCACTGAAGGTTCTAATGAGGTCCCTAAATTTCTCTCTATCTTCCCGTGATAACCTTTCAAAAAATAGATCTTTTGCTCGTCTCTCTGCCTCCGCATAATCTGTACTGGCTCCGTTACTCGCCCTGCTGACCCAACACCCATCCTTTCCTTGTTTTATGTTTTGGAGTCTTGGAGCATTTCTGGTATTTCCTGTAACAAGATTTCGCGTTTTATACTTTAATCTATGTTTTGTGTTTTCTGGTCTTGAAGCATCTCTTGTGACATTTCTTGTCAAATCTTTTGTAACAAATCTCGCTTTATTCTCTGCATTATCATGATTATTTTCTGATGCAATTTCTGAAGTCCTTGTCAAATCTATTCTGAAATCCCTCTTCAGTTTACAATGAAAGAGGTATGTGCTGCATAAGCATATAAATACCACACAGATGAGACACTTCTTGGATCGCATGGTGATGTTCTGTAAAATAAAAACAAAAAAACATTGATAAACTCAATTCAATGTGTTTATTAATTATTTTTCACCTATTGACATGACTTATATGCCTGTCGGCAGACCCAGGATAAATTCATACACATGCATGTCTGCAGGTTATCGGATTTTGTTATAAAGATATCCTAAGGAATGTAAATTGTAATAGGACAGACTTCAAGGTTTTACTAACCTCTTTAATTTGCTATCTGTTTATCATCTTCGAATTGAGATAAAAGCAATGTAGTTACTGTCATTGTTTTGACTAATCTTATGCAAATCGTTTTTGTTGAATCACAGCACTCAACAAAATATAAAAAATACAACGACCCACAAACAACCATAGGAATAACAGTCCATACTTTCGTATGATATTCTCAGACAAGTCATTTTCTCAACTTGGACTACCTTTCCAACAGGGAAGCAAATTTATGTTGTCATTTGAGAGAAGAAACAGTGAGAGGCATACTCGTACTTCCACGGCACAATAATTGGTTTTCAAATATCCGAACCAAATGGAAACTGAATAACATGGTTTTACGCCTGGTTTCCTCGAGGAAATACATTTAGTGATGGTTTTCAGTTGAAGGTTCACATAGAACATTTTGCTAACACTTTTCTGGAAATCACAGCTTCTGAAACCACACAATGACACCCACATGCACGTGTGAGTTACAGTCTAATGCGCAAATCACAGCTTCCTGAACCAACCCACAGACTATCAATCAATCAATCTTTATTGTATGAAAGGCCATTGGCCCATATACACATATAGATAAACAATATCATGTATAGCTGTACAGCGCATTATATAATTATTGGATAACTAATATGATGATGCTTGACATGTATTAGAGGTATTGTAATAACAGTGGTAATAACCACAGTGGCAGCAGTAGTATAAAATACAAAAGGAATGGAATAGCATAGCACGACGTTCAAGACAAAAGAATCTATCAGTAATATACATCATGTCATGACAATTTGACAATTTAAATGTATATGCATTTCTAGTAGAAACAAACAGACAAAAATGAAATGTAGATACTCCTGATCTAGATGCGAAAGTTTCAAAACAACTATTTTTTTCTGGACATATCGGATTCACTAAGTAATTTACTACGCACTCGTAGACTTTGATAGATGTATTGTAATATCTAAGTTAATTTTTGACTAGGGATACCATTAAAAGATAGTATTTTGTTCATGGAATAGTGGTTCTTTGTAATATCAGGCATATATTTCAATCTTAGGTTGTCGTAAATTGGACATATAAACAAAAAGTGTAATTCGTTTTCAATATGGTTTTCGCAGAATGGACAAAAACGCATATCCTTAGGAATAGAGGAGAAGCGACCCCTGTTGCACATCAAATCATTTAACCCTAGCCTAAGTTTAATAAATGTGTCTCTAATTTTTCTCTCTGTTATAGTATGCAGGTAAACCTCTGGTGTTAGACAATATTTAAAGGTATTATAGACGTCGTAGCGTGTACTGTTATCTAGTGACGACCTCCAGTTTTGAGTAAACATATCAATTGCTACCTGCTTAAAACAGCTAAGAAAATACATTTTGTCTCCAACGCTTTGATTTAGCCAAACATATCCAAATCCGTGAGAGAAGAGTAAATCCTTAATGTTTGATGCCCAGGTTACGTAACCAACACTATCACGATAGACAAGCATTTCGTAGCAATTACATGTAATCGATTAAGAAGGAATCAATACTTTTCGAAATTACAAACTCACAAAACATCACACTATCAGGACATCCGACACAAAACAATACAAATCGAAAACTAAACGGTACCCAAAGGAAGCCAAAGCGTCTCAATCGCATCACAACAATGGGACTCGGAAATTTTATGGCCGCGACATTGGCGTCCAACGTGGGGCTGTTCACGTTCATATTTAATTTCAGCAAAATAAGTCCCAGTACCCTACTATGCGGCCCGGGGCGTGCCTTCTGTTGACGGGGAAGTATTAGCAGGACGTGGAGTCATCCCACAGATGACATCCTTACCTTGTCAGCTTGCTGACGGGCTTAACCTCTTTGGTCATGTGGACAAGGCGTCCGACAACTGATCAGAAGTTCCGTGGTTTGAATCCCATCACGGGACTCGGAAATTTTAAGGCCACTACATATATTCAAAACAGAAGAACATATTTTGAAAACGTTTATGTAAGTGATTCTGACATGAGTATCATTATCAATAAATGGTTTCACAATGTGCTTAGTGTTGGTTTTCACGCATACCAATTTTCATGATCACAAGAAAACACTGCGTTTGCGGCAGAATCCAAAGAAACATGACATGGGATAAACATTAAAGTCGCTTGACTCTCACAAACAGTTTGATGCACGTGCAGCACGCACACTAGTGGCTATACACGTTGTGGAGGTCTCGAGCGTTTTCACATCACGGAGTAAGGAAGCTAATACTCTAATTCAAAGACCATTGACCATTTGGAGGCTGATGACTCTCGGTCAGCTGTGGCAAGGCTACTGCATATTAACAGCTGACACTGACAAGCCCAAGGACCAATAAATTATCTACAGCGTTCTGGAAGACCACACCCACTCAGGACAGTTTCACCTGCTTCATCGTTTCTCACCGGCCCCTTTCGATGGACTTGGTGGTGGCAGTGTTTTGGTGGCCATCTGATACACTTGAAGCACAACCCATGTGCACGTCACAAGCAACGAACCAGCCGTTCACCACATAGGAACCCAACATGTATAGGACGACCGTGATAAGGCGTATATGACGATGACGTAACCCTGTGCCACAGACATTGCAGGACTTGATGCGGATCTGGCAGAACATGTGGAATAACATCTCCAGACAGTTGATGAGGAATCTTGTTGACTCCTCAGCGGTGTCAGCGGAGTCAGGCTGTCATTGATTTCATTCATTGTCGCAAATGGCATTCAGCATTTCAGTATATATTGTCTTCATCCGACTAAATACTGGTATATAACGTAAAAGCCGAGAATAATCAGCTGCCGAAACAGATTCCACTGGGTGTAAATGGAAAAAATAGTGATGAAAAGTATTACGGCACAGTGTAGTCATCAGGGACAAGTGATGGTGCAAAATCGGGATATTACACTCCCCGAAAGGTAATACATATTTGTTAACCTACAAATGTATAAACCTTTTAATCACTACGATGTGGACTTTCGAATAACAGAATATTCCATTCCTGAAGGCTCTAACAACGGAAAGTGATGGCCACGTTGCCTGTCCTTAGTGAGCAGCAATCCAAGCATTGTTGAACCTTTGATTACAAGATTCTCTGAGGTTTCTAATCCGCCATACATAGATGGGGACTGTTATAACGAATGTGATTGGTACCCAATAAGAGACGTTACATCTAGCTCATTAAATTCGTGTAAGTGGAACGCGAACAATAAACTCCATTCTGTCTGTTCTGGAACTGTGATGCAACTGAGGCGATTTCCAAATTGAAACCATAGCTCGGTTCGTACAGAACTAAATTGTGTAATCAATAAATAATCCCACAAGATCCACGAAAAATCAATAAATTATTTTGAAACACTCAGGTTTTGGTTTACAATCACAACTATCGAGAAGGCGGGAATAAGTGGTGCACTTGTGCCCAATCCCTTTGTCTTTTTGGACAGTAAAACATGTTAAATATATAAACAAAATACAGTGTAATGGCAAGTAGCAATATATAACAGGCGACACTGTCGAATGCATTGAAGTCTTTGACAGGCATTTCGACGTTTGGAGAACATAAATAGATGACACATTTTTATGGATAGCAACTTCTTTAATT